GTGGTTATTATTGTCACACAGTTACGTTCACATGCTCTGTTTAGAGCTGTGTAATTAGCAGAGCCTTTAAAATGAAATTGCCAGAATGTTCTTCTAAGCTATTCTCCCTTTCAGTCGGCATCACTCAGGTTTCTATGCTTTTTTAGCCCATTGTGCTGCTATCGATTCTTTTGCCCACCTGCCAGCTTTCTTATTATTAGACCTCTCAGAAAAATCTGGAAATGGGTTGTCTTTCTCGGCACATCCAAACCTCTTTTTTCTGAGGATACGTTGGGTAAGATTTTCTCTCAAATGGCACTCTTCCCCACTGCTCTTCACCTCATCCATTATGTGATTTGAAAAGCCCCATTTGACTGCACCCATTGTTAAAAAGCCTGACTCTCCTTGTCAGCATTGCACAAGTCCACAAGTCTGGCTTCTATAATCATGTCTTCGGGTACAGGTATAATCACAAACAATGCCATGAATTATTGACTTTGGGTAGATGGCAGAGGCCTTTGACTGTTGCTGTCACTCCAACATCAAGTGGAAGCAGCTTGGTTTCCGAAGGCTCAGCCTTACTCCAGGTTTCCTGGCCCCAGCGCTTCTTTCTCTTGCTATCTGACATCTGCACCCCACTGGGTTAGGATCATTGAGCTTGTCTGTAGTTGCATCCTTAAAAAAAAAAAAAAGAATCAACATACTTTGTCATTTCAGGAGAGCAGAAGAGGGATTCTTCACACTTACAAGTGCCAGAAAACAGCAACTTAGGCAGATTGTTGGGCAAACTGTTTAGCTTCATTAATTACTTTTAGAGTCATTATTAAGTACCTATGATGTACCAATACTCTGCCTGACAGCATAAGGAGGAGGCAAATGTATAAACTAAGTTCTAAATGGAAACAATAGGTTTAGCAGAATTAGTGAGTTATAGTATGGAGTATAGCATGGAGTATAGTATGGTGCATGAAATAAAAGAGCGCTGCATGTGTTAGAGTTGTTTTATGAAAACCGTGAGCCATGATTTGGTTCCCAGATGAATGCTAAGATCTTGTAAAATAGAGCGAAATCAAGGACATTGCAGGTAGGGAGTGTTTGCATCAGTCCTTGAATAAGAATGAGCTGGGGGTTTAAGAGATGGCTCAGTGGTTAGGACAAACAGTCGTGCTTGTATAGGACCTGCATTCAAACCCTAGGACATACATGGCTTTCGACAGCTGTCTACAGCTCCAGTCTCAGGAGGTCCAGTGCCCTCTTCTGGCACCAGGCTTTCACATGGTTGACAAACATACAGCAAAGCACTCATACAGATAAAATTAAAAAAAAAAAAAAAAGAGTTGGTGTCCCATACAATTAAAAAGACTATGAGTAAGAATGGTCATTCGAGGCAGAGGCGAGAAACAAGCTTTCCTAGAAATCACATACTAACAATATTATTGTGGGGTTGGGAGTGAAAGAGTCACTGTAATCAACTGACATCACCCTTGCAAACCTTCTGCTCTTGTTCAATAATTACATTTGACTGAAAGATTTTGAGTGAACTAGAGAATTACAGCCAATCTCAATGATTTTGAAACCGATTTCTCATAAAGAAAAGCTCATCTAAGCTTAAATACATATAACCAAATTATATATATACATATATAATCACCAAATTATATGTATATATATATAATGATCACGTTATTTATATTGTCAAAGATTATTGTGAAATGCAAAGAAACAATTATATTGATGAGCAAACACGATGAAAATAACCCACACTCCAGGGAGACTTGTGGTCCTGCTGACAGAAGCAGGTGTTAGAGGAGAGACATGGACTCTGGGCTTGGCGTGAAGCTGTGAACAGACAAGAGGCCCCAAGTTTAACTCTGAAACTCTGGATCCTAGAAGAACTAACAAACAGGAAAGTTTTTTAAGGATTTGTGGAGAGTTGGATTACAGGCAGAAAGAGCTGATAACGTAGATTTTGCAGTCACCCTCGCAAGAGATGACTTTATAGAAGAGATTTAAGTGATGAAATAGGGAGTAAGACTAGAAGTGGAAGAGGGTACGGGGTGAAGTGGATATGGAGCAGGGAGAGAGAAACAGGCACGGTTGAAGGTGCGGGAGAGAGCTAGGACATGGCACCAAAAGCAAGAATCCTTTCTACGCTGTGATGGGCAACAGGCTGAGGAGAGAACAGAATTACCCCTCTGAGTGTTCAGGAGGGAGGCCATTGGCAGCAGTCATCCAGACACTTGATTTTTACTGTAGAAGTGGTAAAAGAGAGAGTTAAAGACAAGGTGTAGCCTTTAAGTGACCTGTTCTAGACCTCAGGTCCAAAGAACTCAGCCATGCTGATCAGAGGTGGGCGATGGGGTAGACGCTGTGCTTGCATTTTCTTGCCTATTGTCATAGACCTGGCAAAATGTGCTTTTAGAAAACTAAAAATTTGAAGTTAATATAAACTATTTAAAAGGCTAAACTATTTAGAGGTACTTGGATCATATTTGGATGACAGTACTTTATAATTTCAATTTTGTATGTTATTAATGAATGACGCTTGAATCAGATATTTGCAAAATTCTGTATTTCATTTTTGGAGAGGAGTTTTTGCATGCTCATGTATTTTCCCTCCCTGCTTTGTCAGCCAGAGGAGCATAAGGATTGGAAAAAAAACTTTGACTCTATTTTTCACTAGTCTTATTTATTTTTTATTTATGAAAATTATGTACCCCTCCTAGAAAGGTTAGATTAACTTTATCCAACCTAGAAAGGTTAAAATAACCTTTCAAAATCTTTCAATATAATATTCAGAGAGCCTATTGTCACGTGATTAAACCTCCTTCCAAAAGTCTCTTTTTGCATACATACACAGACACTTTATGCCATTGAGATCATACTATAAATGTAGTTTTACATTGTTTTTTGCATCGAAAACATTATAGACATTTTTATCAACCAATATAGAAAAGTGGTGTCTTTACCAATCATAGATATTGTATGAAAGTACCAAAACTGATTCAGGCCAACTTCTATTGAAGGGCATTTAGGCTTCTCCCAAATTCTCTGTCTCAAACCCCACTGCAGCGAGCATCGGCAGGGTGCACATTGGTACATTTGTCTAGCTGACGGTTGTGTTGTTTGTGTGATTTGTATTGCTGTGACCATGACCAAAAGCAATGCGTGAGAGAAGGTGTTTATTTCAGCTTCCAGCTCCTAGGCCATCACGAAAGGAAATCAAGTCAGAGACTCGAGCCGAGACGTGGATGCCGGGTCTGAAGCCGAGGCCACGAAGAAGGCTGCTGATCATTGCTCTCTACAGCTTGACTCAGCCTGCTTTCTTATAGAACCCAGGGCCACCTGCCCAGGGCTGGCACTGCTGACAGCGGGCTGGGCCCTCCCACAACAGTGTCTCACAGACTTGTCCTCAGGAAGTTGGATGGAGGCATTGACTCAGCTATGGTTCCCTCTTCCCAGATGACTCCAGCTGTGTCAATTTGAAAATAAAAGGCAAACTAACCAGTAAAATGGTCTTTGGATAATTTCCTAGTGGCAGGGAAAGGCTGTGTGTGTTTTATATTGTGATATGTATTTACATATGGACCAAAGCTATGACAAGTATTTGTCTACCAATAGCACATATCCATACCCAAGAAGTTTGTTTGTATGTTTTCATCTTAACTATGCTTATTTCCCATGCTTAGAAAATAAGGAAGCCGAAATATGCCAGTATTTCTTAAACCTTTTAAGGTCTTAGGACCATTTCAGAATTTGGGTGGTAGTTGAATATGTGTGTGTGTGTGTGTGTGTGTGTGTGTGTGTGTGTGTGTTCGCATATCGTGTAGAGGCCAGTGATCAACATTGGGTATTTTTCTTGATTGCTCTCTACCTTACTTTTTAAATTAGAATTTTGTTTCTGCTGTGTATCCTTGGGCGTGGGTTCACTTGTGCCATAGCATTTACACGGAGAGCAGAGGAAAACTTACTGGAATGGAACATATTCCTCTTGACCCATGTGGACTGGACTCAGGTCATCCGGCTTGGCAGCGTGTGCCTTTACCTGCTGAGTCATCTTGCTGGCCCAACCACCATCATTTTCAACACAGGACTTCTCACCAAACACTTGGAGCTCTTTGGCTATCCCAGCTCTTCTGTAAGCTCAAAAACCTGCCTGTGCTGCCTCTGGCTGTTTTTTTTTTTTAACATGGGTGCTAAGAATTGAACTCAGTTGCACATGATTACTTGACCAACTGAGCTATAGTCTCAGTTCCCAAAGTTTAGAATTTTTAAAATAACTATTTCTTCTACTTTCCAGATTTATGCACATGTGTAAAAGCAGAGTTTCTTTTAAAAGTTATTCTACTTTAAAAAATTAATGTTTTTTTTTATTGAAATGGAATTACATCACTTTCTTCCTTTCCTCCCTCCAGCCCTTCCCAGCTACCCTCCCCCAAACCCTTCCCATACCCCATGCTCTCAAACTGACAGCCTGTTTTCCTTGACTGTTATCATTACATGCATGCATACATGTATGTGTACAGATGCACAAGTACATACAAACACAGCACGCTGAGTCCATGTTTGCTGTTTGTGTGTATATGGTTTCAGGGCTGGCCCCTCTGCGTTGGAGGCTAGTTCTCCTCCAGAACTTATTGGCTGCTGTCAGATTTTGTCTAGGGGTGGGACCCCATGGCATTTTCATCATTCCACATCAACATGCCCACCGGTAAAGCATTTCACACACAAGGAAAGCAATGAGCTACAACCCAGCCTAGAATTTTTTTTTTGGAAGTCACGGGTTCTTTGCATTAAATTCATAGTTTTATTACTTTCCTAGTTCATCTAGGGTACCTGCATGAGTTATTTTAAAGTTGTTTTCTATGCTAGTCTGCACACATATCATATCCTCATATATGCACAAAATGTATTTGGACATTTGAAAAAACTTGAGTCCTCTTTGACACAGAACTTTGTCCCCTGTGAAGTGCATGTGCTAGTGTATAGCTTTTGAAACGAAGGGTTTCTCTGTGTTTCAGGTTTCTGAATGGCGAGCCCAGCAGGAAGAGTTAGCAAGACTGGAAATGGAGATTTCAGCCAGAAGAAGAGAAAGGCAAGAGGAGAAAGCGAAACTATGGAAGGAGAAAGAACTGCTGCAAAGGGAGGAGACAAAGACAAAGGTATATAATCCCCTGCTTCCCTGATGCATGGATGGTTTCCTAATTGCCTGACTGAGCTTTGATGCATGAACACAGATAGGTGTCTGGGACTAAGTGTACTCCATGGTTGGGGGAGGTGTCAAAATTTGTGTCTATTCTTAAGTGTTGCACTAAGAAGGGACAGGATAAAGCTTTCAGTGTGCTAGGAGAGTATATTGGTTTATGGCAATATGGCGAATGATAGTTAGAAATGTACTTGTTGGCAGAATACATTGTACCAGTGAAAGTGGACAATTCATGGAATGTCAAAAGGCCCTTAAAGACTTCACTTCTTTATTATTTATTAGGTTTTTTGTTATGCAAATTTACCATTCCTCTTTGAGGCAAATGCTTATTTCTAAATCTTAAAAATGCTCACCAAAATCTCATCCACATCCTGAAGATATAATTGTTTAGAGATTGTTTTCATTATTTTATTATGAAATTTAGACATTCTGTCTGTCCCTACAATAAAAATTGCAGCATTTTCAGTAAAGATATTTTTAGCTAAAAATGTTATCAGACTTATCAGGCAATGTTTCAGGGAGCTGCTGACTCTGGAAATTTTTCACAAAAGGTAGTTACCCTGTGACCAAAGCAGTGAAAGGAAATCGATTCTCTGGCATAGCTCCTCCAGTCTTGCATATCAGGACCCAGAAAGTTCACCTGTACCGACTTGATCTGCATGATATAAAAAATGATTTTTTTTTAAAGCTGCTTACAGTGCTAAGAATGACTGATTAACTCATGGCCATTGGTGGACTGCCTTTTGCGCTTGTGACCATGGCTCTCATTTTGGGCTGTGTGATCAATGAAGTCTGTGAAGCCCTCATTTAAGGAGTTTTTTTCCTTCAAAGTTGAGTGCTGCAGTCTACAGGAACTGTGGTCTTTGAAGCTATAAGCCAGCTTTGCAGCATTTTTGACTCCTTGCTTGTCATTGATCTTGACTTGTGCCGTGCCTTCACGCCAGCAAGCTGACTGTAGCGAGAAGCAGCATGTGTGCCCAGCCACACACCGAAGGTTCTAGGACCGTTTGACAAAATCAGCTGCCAGAAAGGATCGCTTTTCACTGCTCTTATTTTTTTCTAAATTAAAAATTGAATTCCATTTCTTCTCCTGAAGAGGTGAATCGGGTGGTTTCATCAGGCCCACATCAAGACAAGTGGTTTTTTAAAAGGAGTAACTGCATGAACCTCAATAATTACTAAATATTGATCACGTTTCAGATAATGCAACTGAACTGTGTATCTTTGTGGGGCAACCTACCAATTATCTGTGATCATGAAAGAACAGTATTTGAATTGTGCATCCCTAGATTTGTCTTCTAAATAGAGTGCTCGCAGAGCATTTCTTTTCTACGAGTAAATCTGAGCACAGAAAGCATTGTGTATCTAAGCAGTAGGTAATATCACCTTAGGGGGCATGTAAAGGGCTGTAAAAAAAGAGTTCCACTTTCTGAAGGTTTCCAAAGACCAAGACAAACGAAATAAGTCAATTACTAATAGGGGGAGGGAGCACATTTAATTGTGGAAGCTAGATTGTACTTGGGAGGTTGGCATGGATACTCAGGGAGAGTGGAAAAACATTGCTCACGGTCTTCTTTGCATTCGGCATAGAAGATTTATAGAAAGGGAAGAGTTTTTAAACTGTGAGAAAGAAAGACTTTCTGAGTTTTCAGAAAGGGATGACACTTTGCATCTGAAAAACCAAAGCAAGCGAGCAAAGAAACACAGAGAGAGTAAAGGATGGAACGATTGTCAATCGTGGTGGCCAAGGTGATGGCCGGACTAGTGAAGCCTAAGGTAAGATGGCACCGTGGAGATCAGGGAGAACTTCAGTGACGCTGGCTGCAACACCCTTTCCACATTTCAGAATGTAAGCCCTAGCCTGTCCCTGGGAGCGCCAGGAAGCAGATGGCTGAGAAGGTGTCAAGATGCCCACATGCTGGTGCATTTGGGCCTAGCTGCATTCCATTAGGCTGCCTGCAGCGTCTCGCTCCACTGTCTTGCGTGTGATAATGACAGACGTGTGAAATTCAAGACCAGGTATCTTGTGTGTGTGTCGAGTTGTGGCGACCTTGCTGTGTTCTGACATTTCATTTCAATCCTTAGAAATTGTATAGAACCAAGTATATGGTTTACTCCAGTTATTTTCTTCTTCTAATAATTTCTGTTTAGGAAATACCTTTAAAATACAGAGATTAATATACTATGTTAGTACCCATCACCTAGCAGTGAAAATATTAGTATGCTTTTTATTTTCTCACATTAAAAAAAAAAAAAGTAGGTAGAGTGTTACAAAGTTAAAGTCATTTTTCTGAGGCCTTAGTCAGCACCTTCTTCACCTCCCTAAAGGTTTTGTTTCTGTTATCCCAGAAACATATATAGCTGCTCAAACATTTAACACGTAGACTGTTACTTAATTTCCTTTTTCATGAACACTATCATACATCACCATTCTACAAAACTCTTTTTTTTCCATTCCAGCTTCTATTTTGAATCATTCTTACATTAACAGTAGAGAGTAGAGCTGCTTTTTTTTTTTTTTTACTTGGACTTTAGTATTCCACAGTACACATGCCTGCCAATTTCTCCTTAATGGCTTTCACTTCAGCCTGCAAAGATCTGTTGTTTTGCCTAGTATGTAGCTGTAGCTACCATGCAGACATCCTTTGGCCTAACTGGAGATTTCTCTAGGTGCTTCTAGGAGTGAAATGATTATGATGTAGGAGTGATGTATTTTCAATTTTACATGAGCTTTAAACTTTATATGATTATTATAATTGTTTTATTTTTAATTCTGCCAGTCTGATAAATGTGAAAAGCACGTCACTCTAATTTTTATTTCCACGGTTACTTCTGAGACTGAGTGTCTTCTTATGTTTACTGGAACATTTTCTCTTTTACAGATTGTTTACCTGTACTTCTTATCTATTTTCCCATTTGTTATTTATTAATATACAGATGGGGCTCATCATTGCAGAATGCTACGTATTAACTAGCTATTGGGATTTCGAAGATTTGTTCCTCTGGCCATTTGCCTTTAAATATTGCCTGAACTTTCTACAGTTTCACAGAGAGTTTAAATGGTCCAAGAAGGAAGGCATTATGCTTTCTTTGTGAATCGTACCTTCCTTCCTGAGCTGAAGCCAGGCAACGAGACCATCTCTGAAGACAGTTCTTACTTTTGCCTGTGCTGAGGGCCACATACATTTTACCGGCTCAGAACCAGCCTCTGTGTTATTGTCTAGACACGGCGCTGTGAGCTCCTGTGAATGTCAGGGTTCTCAGGCATGACACTAGCTTAATGTGCTGCAGCGATGGCCTTTGATCTGGCGCCCAGGCCTACAGAGGCCTCCCAGCCACTCCTCAGGCAGGGATCACGCTATGCTAATCCCTGCTCTGTGTCTGCCCAGGTTCTGTCTATCTGTTGTTGTTGGTTCCAGCTCCTAGGAAAGGGAAAGGGAAAGGGAAAGGGAAAGGGAAAGGGAAAGGGAAA